AAATTTTTAGAATCTTGAGACATTTCTGTAATCATTTCTTAGGCTAACTTCTTGCAAATAAAATTGGACAAAGGTGGAAGAAAACACCTAAAATGAAAAAAGCAATTAAGTTTTTTTAATAAAAATAGAGATTGTAACTAAGGTTTAGGATAACAGTAGCTAAGTCTATTCAAACAGCCTTATCCCCTTCACTGCCAAGTTTGAGATCCCCCTGGTCTTTCTCATGTTGTATTATCCAAGACTTGTCACGATAGCAAAACATAAATCATGAATCCCTGTTCTCTACAGAATGGAGGAATAATTGATAATATCCCGCAAATGTTTCTCCAAACTCCAACTGCTGATTTATCATGATGCTTGCTTCTCTCAGTGTGGCGAAAACAATTTTAGAGATTTCTTTCCTGTCTTTTCTTATTCTTTCCAAAAGTGTCCTAGCATTAATAGGACATATTTATCTCATGGTCAAGTGACTCTTTCTGGTCAAGCTGTTCCTGTTACCAGAAGAGCTTTGCCCTCTGGCCTCTGAAACTAGAATAATCAAGCAAAGAGAAAGACAGGAAAAAAACAAAACTTGTTCACAAATAAATATGTAACAATTAAGAGTGAACCACAAAACATTTAAATTACCATTAGAAAAAGTTGGACAGTGAGAATAATATTAAGACACTGATGTTTTAGTGCTGCAAATATAAAATTATTTATAAAAGTCACATGATTAGCTGTTGCTATAAAGGCTTCCTTAAAATATCTCAAAAATATACAGTATTACCAACACAATTGATAGTAGCTTCAGTGTGACCTATTTGTAGCCTAGCAATTTTTTTTATTAAAACAACAGAGAGAACTGATTACTCAGCAGGGTAACCTTCTCTAAAATAACTTCCTTGACCAAATGATAGTGTCACTTGTCACACAGGAAGTGAAGACTTGGCAGAATTTTCACTGGGTAGTTTCCTTTGACTTTTCACATTACGGTCAACTGATTTACGAATGATAGGAAGTATAAATTTAACTGTGCTGACAACTCTTTGGAAGTGTGCTGGATCTGCAAGACCTTTCCAGCCAAATGGACTCCTGACCCCTCCAACTCAATATGGCAAAAACATAATGTGTTAAATCAATAATAAATAAATTAGTTATGAGATGGATTAATTAATTTATTCATTAATTTTAAATTATACTTGTGATGTTCCCCTAACTCACTCCTTCCCCTAACTTCTAACTTCCCCATTTCTGCTGTACTACCTCTATGAGCCCATAAGACCTGAGTAGCAGAGTAAGCCATTTTCTCTTGTCATGCCCAATGAGTCCAAATTCTACAGCATCTTCCTTCTTTACTACTCTTCTATCCACCCTTTGAATACCACCCAAGTTTAGGCCTCATCTGTCAGCTTGCTTTCACTCTCTACCCTCTACGTGGCAGGTAAACTATCTCTTTGCTTTTATCTACATAACACTCTTCCATTGACCACAAATAGAGCGTGCATTATTCACCCTGGCATTCAAGGGCTTCTGTAATCAAGCTCTGCCATTATTTCTAACCCTACGTTTCATTAGTCTTTCATATACCAAAAAATAAGAATTGTTTTTCTTAGAATATTCTCAGGGGCGCCTGGGTGGCTTAGTCGGTTAAGCGTCCGACTTTCGCTTAGGTCATGATCTCGCGGTTCGTGGGTTCGAGCCCCGCGTCGGGCTCTGTGCTGACTGCCAGCTCAGAGCCTGGAGCCTGCTTCAGATTCTGTGTCTCCCTCTCTCTCTGACCCTCCCCTGCTCGCGCTGTCTCTCTCTCTCCTAGAAATAAATAAAAACATTAAAAAAAAAAAAAAAAAGAATATTCTCTACATCTTTTTTCCCCTTCCATATCATGTTTTTGCCTTTATTTATAATGTCTCCCCAACTTCCACACATTACATACATCACTACTACCAGAGTCAAATTTTCTTTCTTTGAAATCTTTCCTATCACCTTAACAAGAAATAATATTGTCTTTCCTGAGTGCCTGTGGTACTTGGCCTCCTCCCTTAATACCAAGATTTGTGGTATATTTGTTCATTTATTTATTTACTGTGTTTTCCTCTGATTTATTAATAAACTCCTTGAGAGCATTTATCATTTTAGAATTGAAACTGATGGGGCTCATTCAGTTCACTTGTATTGAAAGAATGAATGAATGAGTGATGGAGAATGTTCTTTTGTCACCTGCTTTTCAAAAGCAAGTTTTAAACTCTCTATTGATGGGGCGCCTGGGTGGCTCAGTCAGTTGAGCGTCCGACTTTCGCTCAGGTCATGATCTCGCGGTTTGTGGGTTCGAGCCACAAGCGTCGGGCTCTGTGCTGACAGCTAGCTCAGAGCCTGGAGCTTGCTTCAGATTCTGTGTCTTCTTCTCTCTCTGACCCTCCCCTGCTCATGCTGTCTCTCTCTCTCTCTCGGAAATAAATAAAACATTTAAAAAATTTAAACTCTCTATTGATAATGAAATTCAGAAATTCTTAGTAGATATTTTGGCAGTCCTAAGTATTACAAAACAAATTAATATAAAGCCATCATGTAACAGAATATAGGCCTCACTCAGCTAAAACTAATTAAAGATATCTTGGTCTACACAACAATTGATGGTGTTGGAAATATTAACTAGATAGGTACAAAGCAATACAATCTAGTTTTATTCTCTCAGAAGGTTGTTTTGAGATCATTAGCTTCTCATAATATACAGAAAAATACTGTTTTCACCAATCTTTAAGTGAAAATATTTTTTTCTTTTCTACACTTCTATCTGTATTAAGTATGAACAAAACAGGCTTGGCATATGGTATTTTATAGTCTTCACAATATATATGATATAATTTAGAACTGAATTATATGAGAGGGAGAGACAGAGAGTAAACATGAAAAGGAGAGAAGGGCAAGGATGGGGGGAGAGAGAGAGAAAGATAGAGAGAGAATCTTAAGCATGCTCCAAGTTCAGTGCAGAGCCCAACATGGGGCTTGATCCTGTGACCTTGGGATCATGACCCGAGCCACAATCAAGAGTTGGACACAACCGACTGACCCACCCTGGCAACCACTATATATTATATATTGATATTTTCTCCCCCCACAAAAAAAAAGTTAAATGAATAAAAACAACATACACACACATTTCCTTAATCCCTGGCATTTATTAAGCATTCCAACATTATCTTCTAGCAACAATGATAGCATTGGTATTAGAGGTAGTATAGTGGTGACGGTACTGGTGGTGGTATTAGAAGTGGTAGTGGTAATAGTAATAAAGACAGTAAAGTGATTAGTGCAATGTAAAAGGCCTCATAGTGGCCAGACACATTTGATACATCATCTCATTTAAACATTAAAACAACCCTACAAAATAGTTCTAATCTCCTCATTTTACAAATAAGAAAGCTGGAGTTCAAGGAAATTACTAAGGATATATGGAAGATCTATCTGATGCTGAATTTTTGCTGGTCCTGAATTTTTTTTCCCCAATACTCCATGTTACATCCTTACCAGTCATCCTATGAATGAACCCTTTTTTCTGGAATTCTGTTGCATCTAACAAGAAGTAACTGAATAATTGATTGATAATGCATAGTTGTATCCCAGTAAGAAAGACAGACTATGGATTTTTTATTTTCACTGACTATGTCCCCGCTAGCATTGGCACTTAAAAAAAATTTGCATTAAAATATAATCTGGTCATTTATAACAAGTCCTTTCCACTTAAAGTCATCTAATATGTTAAGTATACCAGTGGATGCCTCTTTCTCCACCAGCAATGAGGGAGGATTTACTCTGGGTACTGAGTTGCCTATCACCAACTCCGGATGCCTAGAGGAACAAATGCTAATTATGACAAATGATTCACATAATTTAGACATTAATCTAGAATGTACATGAGCCATTCAAGTCAAATAAAACTTTTTATGTACAGAATTCATAATCCACCCAACAAAGAAAACAAGAAAGCCCCAGCAATTTGGACATTTTCTCCAATCTTGCCTTCGTTTTTCAAAAGCAAACACTGGAGTTGGTTGCTGATAAAGGAATCAATATGTCAACAATAAAATAACAAAATTTCTGATCAATTATTGGCAATCCTGCTAAAAAATAATTGCTATAGTGACATATAATTATCTGCATTTGGGGAGGTCAACCTGTTTAGTGAAATAGTGTTGCTAAGAAATGCAGATAAAAATAGGTAGAGAGTGCAGAGGTAAATACGTAACTTATGTCGAGGTGCTAACTAAAGAGTGTGTTTTAATTAAAATTCTATGCTGCCAATAAAATCATTTATAATTTTTTTAAATTTCAAGATAGATAATTCTCTCTTATCCATATGAACAGAAAGAATCATATGAAAGAGATCATCCAAAATAGCAGAAGATTTTAAGAAAAGAGTTAAGATGGTGAAAGAGTGGGGCACCTGGGTGGCTCAGTCAGTTAAGCTTCCAACTTCAGCTCAGGTCATGATTTCACTGCTCGTGGGTTCAAGACCTGAGTCGGGATCTGGGCTGACAGCTAGCTCAGAGCCTGGAGCCTGTTTTCAGATTCTGTTACTCCCCATCTCTCTGACCCTCCCCTGCTCATTATGCCTCTCTCTGTCTCTCAAAACTAAATAAAAAACATTAAAAAAAAAAAGATGGTGAAGGAGTAAGGGGACCCTAAGCTTGCCTCAAACACAGTTAAATAAATATCAACCATTATGAACATCTAAGTAACTGTCTGAGGACTGAAAGAACAAACTGTATATCTGGAGGTAGAAAAAAGGCCACATCATGGAAAGTAAGAGCTGCAGAGAATTGATTTGGGGAGAAAAGAATTGCAGGTGGTGCAGAGGTGAGGGACCCCTGATCATAGAGAGAAGAGCGAGAGAGAAAGAGAAAAACAGAAAGAATGAAAGCAGCGCACAGGGGACTGCACAAGAAATACTCTTCTCCAAAAGCACTTACTGGGAAAAGGAGAGGTGTTGACTACCACAGCATTTATGAGCAGTGGAGCTCAAAGGCTGAAGTTTAAGAAGTCTGCACCATTGTCAGGGTCGTGCCTGGTGGGCTTAGTGCTGTTCCTGTGGAGAAAGAGAGTGGAGCCCTAGATGCAGGCAATGTAGTCTGAGGATCCCCTGGGTTATACAAGGAGACATAATTCTGCTTCTCTGAGTGCATTTGGGATAGGTGGTATGGCCTCTCTGGGTGCAAAAGAGCTGACAGGTGCCAATGTGCTACACTGTTCATTAGCACAGGAAAACTTGCTGGGGACAGCAAACCTTGGTTCCAGCTTTTTGCTGTGCTTTACCATAAAATAAAATTCAAAATTCAAACCACTATGTGATCATGTGACTGCTTTTCTGGGACAAATGACCACAGTGTGGTAAGACCCTCCCTAGAGATTGAGAGCTGAGCCCCCAACCCACCCCCAGGCTAGGTCCTTAAAATTTGTAGTTCTGAAACCCAGCCATGTGCCTGAGATAAAACACAGGAGTACTGTGCTGCCTGGAAGGCAGACAGAATGGACACAGACAGGCTGAAGGCAGGGATCTGATAGAAACTGGGGACACAAGAGGGAAGACTGTTTACTCTTCGGTGAGGGCTTCCTGAAGAGTGGCAAGTGAGAACTCCCCACTTTGGGGACGAGAGAGTGAGGTGATGCCATTTCCCCCTCAACCCATCAGCACTAAGGACTTCAGTGAGGAATACAATGTCTCCCAGTGGAAGCTGGAGACTCTTACACCAAGCCCCATACTCCTGTGCCCTGTAGATGCATCTCCACTAGGACAAGTCAGCCTTAGAACAAGCACAGCAGCCCAGAAGACCAGCACAAACTCCTCATGAACCAAGTCTACAGTCCAGAGTGCTGCAAAACTTCACTCTAGAGGAAATAGGATCTAGTGTTTTTCAACAAACAGACCAAAACACACCTAGTTAAAATTTGCCACATAATAGACAAGGTCCAAACACCCCCACGGAAGGCAAGGAGAAATTCTACAGAGGACTGACTTGAGGGAAGGAGTAACCAAAGTACAACAGCAGAGTGCACACTCTGATGAAACACTTCTTGAAGCACTAGGCCCAAGACAATATAGAATCTCTTCTTAATATAGCCATTACTCTCTGGAACAGGAATATAACAGGCTTTCCTAACAATCACACACACAGACACATAGACACACACACAAACAGTGACTTAGACAAAAATGACAAGATGAGAAATTCACCACAAAAGAAAGAGCAGGAAGAAGTAACAGCCAGGGATTTAAGCAAAATGGATATAAATAATATGCCTGAAGCAGAACTTAAAACAATAATCATTACGATAGTAGCTGGGCTTGAGAAAAGCAAAGAAGACACCAAAGAATCTCTTCCTGCAGAGATAAAAGAACTAAAAACTAGACAGGCCAAAATTAAAAAAAAAAAAAAAATGCTCTAACAGATGCAAAACCAACTGGATGCCAAGACAACAAGGATGGATGAAGCAAAGAAATGAATTAGTGATATAGAAGATAAAATTATGTAAAATAATGAAGCTGAAAGTATTGAGTCACACATGTAGATTTAGGGAACTCAGTAATTCCATAAAGTGGAATAACATTCATATCATAGGAGTCCCATAAGAAGAAAAGGAGAAAGGGACAGAAAGTTTATTTGAACTAATTATAGCTGAAGACTTCCCTAATCTGGAGAATGACACAAATATCAAAATCCAAGAGGAATAGAGAACTATCAAATTCAGCAAAAGCCAGCCCATACTAAAATATATCATAGTCAAATTCACAAAATACAAACCAGGAAAAACTCCTGAAAGCAGCAAGGGAAAAAAAAATCCATAACTAACAAGGGAAGACAAATCAGGTTCACAGCAGATCTGTCCATAGAAACTTGGCAGGCCATAAGGGAGTGAAATGACGTATTCATTGTGCCAAATGGGAAAAATATGCAGCCAAAAATACTCTATCTGGCAAGGTCATCAATCAGAACAGGAGGAGAGATGAAGAGTTTCCCAGAAAAACAAAAACTAAAGAAGTTCATGATCACTAAACAAGCCCTGCAAGGAATATTAAATATTAAAGGGGACTCTTCAAGTGAGAAAAAAAGACCAAAAGCAATGAAGACTAAAAAGAACAGAGAACATCATCAGAAACACCAACAGTACAGTTAATACAATGGCTTTAAATTCATATCTATCAATAATCACTCTGAATGTAAATGGACTAAATGTTCCAATCAAAAAACATGGGGTATCAGAATGGATTTAAAAAAACAAAAACAAAAACTCATGTATATGAGACACCTGCAGATTGAAAGTGAGGGGATAAAGAACTATACATCATGCTAATGGACATGAAAAGAAAATCGGAGTAGTCATACTTCTATCAGATAAACTAGATGATATATTTTTTTAAGTTTTTAAATTTATTTTCAGAAAGAGAGAGAGTGCAGCATGAGTGGGGGAAGATAGAGAAAAAAGGAGTGAGAGAATACCAAGCAGGCTCCGTGCTGTCAGAACATGGAGACCAATGTGGGGCTTGATTCCACAAACTGCAAGATCATGACCAGAGTCAAAATCAAGAGTCAGATGCTTAACTGACTGAGCCACCCAGGTGCTCCCAAACTTACTTACTTACTTACTTACTTTCTTGTTCTCTCTCTCTCTCTCTCTCTCTCTCTCTCTCTCTCTCTCTTTCTTCTTAAATATTTATTTTTGAGAGAATGTGAGTGGGGTAAGAGAAAAGAGACGGGGGAGAGAGGATCTGAAGCAGGTTATATGCTGACACCAGAGAGCCCAACATGGGTTTGAACTCACAAACTGTGAGATTGTGACCTCAGGAGAAATAATAAAGATTAAAGCAGAAATAAATGATACAGAAACAAACAAACAAACAAAACCAAGTAGAACAAATCAACTAAACTAAGAGCTGGTTCTTTGAAAGAATTAATAAAATTGATAAACCCCTAGCCAGGCTTATCAAAAAGAAAAGATAAAAGAACCAAATAAAATCATGAATGAAAGGGGAGAGATCACAACCAATACTACAGAAATACAAACTATTATAATAGAGTATTATTAAGAAAATATGTCAACAAACTGGCAATCTACAATAAAGGGATAAATTTCTAGAAACATACAAACTACCAAAACTGAAACAGGAAGATACAGAAAATTGAAACAGACTCATACTCCAAAGAAATTGAATCAGTAATCAAAAATCTCTCAACAAAAGTCTAGGGCCAGATGGCTTCCCAGGGAATTCTACTGAACATTTAAAGAAGAGTGATTATCTATTCTTCTCAAACTGTTGCAAAAAACAGAAATGGAAGGAAAACCTCCAAACTCATTCTACAAATCCAACATTATTCTGATTGAAAAACCAGGGAAAGACTCCATTCAAAAAGAGAATTATAGGCCAGTATCTCTGATGAAAATGGATATAAATATTCTCAACAAGATACTAGCAAATCCAATTCAATAAAACAGTCAAAGAATTGTTCACCATGATCAAGTGGGATTTATTCCTGGGCTGCAGGGCTGGTTCAATATTCACAAATCAATCTATGTGGTATGCCACATTAATAAAAGAAAGGATAAGAACTATATGCTCCTGTCAATATATACAGAAAAAGTATTTGATAAAATAGAGCATTCATTCTTGATAAAAATACTCAACAAAGTAGGGATACATGGAACATACCTCAACATCGTTTTTTTAATGTTTTATTTATTTCTGAGAGAGAGAGAGAGAGAGAGAGAGACAGCGTGAGCAGGGGAGGGTCAGAAAGAGAGGGAGATACAGAATATGAAATAGGCTCCAGGTTCTGAGTTAGCTGTCAGCACAGAGCCCGACGCAGGGCTCGAACCCAGAAACTGCTAGATCATGACCTGAGCTGAAACCAGATGCTTAACCGACTGAGCCACCCAGGCGCCCCCATACCTCAACATCATTGATGCCATATACAAAAGACCCACGGGTAATATTGTCCTCAGTGGGGGAAATTGAGAGCTTTTCCTCTACTTGAGTACAAGACAGGGATATCCACTCTTACTCTTACTATTCAACATAGAACTGGAAGTCTTAGCCTTAGCAATCAAAGAACAAAAAGAAATAAAAGGCATCCAATAGGCAAGGAAGAAGTCAAACTTTCACTATTTGCAACATGATACTCTGTGTAGAATACCTGAAAGACTCCAGTAAAAAATTTCTAGAACTAATACATGAATTCATCAAAGTCTCAGGATATAAAATCAACATACAGAAAGCTGTTGCATCTCTATATACCAATAATGAGGCAGTAGAAAAAAAAATCAAGGAATTGGTTCTGTTTAAAATTGCATCAAAAACCATAAGATACCTGGGATTAAACCTAGAGGTAAAAGATCTGTATTCTGAAAACTAAAGAACACTTGTGAAAGAAATTGAAGAAGACACAAAGAAATGGAAAAGCATTCTATACTCATAGATTGGAAGAACAAACATTGTTAAAATGTCTATATTACTTAAAGCAATCAACACATTTCATGCAATTTCTACCAAAATGCCACCAGAATTTTCACAGAGCTAGAACAAACAATCCTAAAATTTGTATGGAACCACAAAAGACCCCAAATAGCCAAAGCAATCCTGAAAACAAAAATCAAAGTGAGAAGCATCATAATTCTGGACTTCACACTATTATTACAAAGCTGTACTGATCAAGACAGTATGGTACTGGCACAGAAACAGACACATAGATCAATGGAACAGAACAGAGTATCCAGAAATGGACACATAACTATATGGTCAATTCATCTTTAAGAAAGCAAAAAATATCCAATGACAAAAAGACAGTCTCTTCAGCAAATGGTGTTGGGAAAACTGAAGAGCAACACACAGAAGATCACTGTCTTATATCATTCACATAAGTAAATCCAAAATGTATGAAAGCCTTAATTGTAAGACAGGGAACTATCAAAATCCTAGAGGAGAAAATAGGCAACAACCTCTTTGACCTTGGCCATAGCAACTTCTTACTAGACACATGTCTGGAGATAAGGGAAACAACAACAAAAATGAATTACTGGGGCTTTAACAACATAAAAAGTTTCTGCACAGCAAAGGGAACAATCAACAAAACTAAAAGGCAGCCTATGGAATTGGAAAAGATATTTGCAAATGATATACTGGATAAACGGTTAGTATCCAAAATCTATAAAGAGCTTATCAAACTCAACCCACAAAATTAAATAATCCAGTGAAGAAATGGGCAGAAGACATGAATAGGCATTTTTCCAAAGAAGACATACATATAGTTAACAGACACATGAAAAGATGCTCAATATCACTCATCATTAGGGAAATGTAAATCAAAACCACAATGAGATACCACTTCATCCCTTTCGGAATTGCTAAAATTAACAAGAAACAACAGGTGTCGGGGAAGATGCTGAGAAAGGAGAACCTCCTATACTATTAGTGGGAATGCAAACTGATGCAGCCACTCTGGAAAACAGCATAGCGGTTCCTCAAAAGGAAAAAATATAACTACTTAATGATCCAGCAACTGCAGTACTAGGTATTTACCCAAAGGATACAAAATTACAGAATCAAAGGGGTACATGTACCATGATGTTTACAGCACCATTATCAATAATAGCCAAATTATGGAAAGAGCCCAAATGTCTCTCCACTAATGAATGGATAAAGAAGATGGGGTATATATATAAATACATACACACACACACACACACACACACACATACACACACACATACATATAATGCAATATTATTCAGCCATCAAAAGAAATGAAATATTGTCATTTGCAACAATGTGGATAGAGTTTTAATGCTAAGAGAAATAAGTCAGTCAGAGAAAGACAAAAACTATATTATTTCATTCATAGGTAGAATTTAAGAAACAAAACAGATGAACATATGGGAAGGGAGAAAGACGAGAGACAGAGAAGCAAACCATAAGAGACTCTTAACAATAGACAGCAAACTGAAGGCTGATGGAGGGAGATGGGTGAGGAAGGGGCTAAATGGGTGATGGGTATTAAGGACAGCACTTGCTATGATGAGCACTGGGTATTACATGTAAGTGATGAATCACTGAATTCTGCTCCTAAAACCAATATTACACTATATGTTAACTAACTAGAATTTAAATAAATATTTGAAAACATAAAATAAGCAAAAAATAATAATCCAAATCTACTAAGAAAACCAGAAAAAAATCCAGGACATGGGACATTGTACAAATGACTTGGGCACTGCAAAAAGTTCAGTGTCATGGGGTAAAAAAGGCAGGATGGACTATTCCAGATTAAAATGTAGGCAAAAACCTTGATTATATCCTGAATCTATGTTTAAATTATGTCCTGGATGAGGACATAGCTTAAAAAACCACTTTGGGACATCAGGGGAAATTTGTCCCATACAGATCTATTATATTAAATGTTATTGAGTTTATTGTTAATTCTCTCAAGTATGACAATGGCATAATGCAGAAAAACCTTATTGCAAGGAAATGAATGCTTAAGTATTCAGGAATGAAATGCTATTTTCTCACAACTTACTTTCAAATGGTTCATCAAAACAAATTAGATAAAGTACATGTGATAGAGTGTTAACAGTTGGTGGATCTAGGGGAAGGTTATATTATTGTACTGCCCTTTTAAATATATTATAAATTCTTGATATTCATCAAAACCATTAGCATAAATTCAACTTTTCTATGAACTTCTGAAAATACAAAATTATAATCAATTAAAAAAACAGCAGAAGATTTAGAAGTTGCTCCTATTTATTTCAGAAATACTTTATTCAATTTGCTTTTTGCATGCTTCAATTCACTTTCCTAAGTCTGATTTAGGCTAATAATGTAATTAGTTTGACTTTCCTGAGCCTTCACCAAATGCTAGAAGGAAGTTAATCTAGAAATGTGCTAGTGGACGATAATGTGGAAAAAAAAAAAAAAGAACACTAAAAATTATCCATCTTGAGTGAGGAAAAATGACAGACCAAGTATGTCCCTTCCTACCCCAAATCTCTCAAAATGGAAACAAATGTATATATATTAAAAGAAAACTAAATCCATATGGATGAAAGTGATAAAATAAACTTCCAGAATATCAAGGAAGCTCTCAGGTCTGTAATGAGTCACATAAGATCCTGTTTCTTAAGGTGCCTGGGTGGCTCAGTGGGTTAAGCATCCAACTTTGACTCAGGTCATGATGTGAAGTTTGTGAGTTCGAGCCCCATGTCAGGCTCTGTGCTGACAGCTCAGAGCCTGGAGCCTGCTTTGGACTCTGTCTCCATCTCTCTCTGCCCCTCCCCCACTCACACTCTTTCTTTTAAAAATAAATAAAACATTAAAAAAAAGATCCTGGATCTTGGCATGTACTTGTATTGTTAAACATAAATTCACTTATTCTTTATTTCAAAGAATGATCTAGAATGCATAATGCAGTATAAGAGGCAAACTTAACCTGTTTTCCAACCCAGAGTTCTGAGAACAGAAGGAAGTTTCCTTTCAATAACTGGGGCAATTCACAAATTTGCAATAATAAGACCATTTTTAAAAAAGGGGTCACTAGGGGGACACTCTTACACTATTGGTGGGGATGAAAACTGATAGAGTCACTCTGGAAAATAGTATGGAGGTTTATCAAAAAGTTAAAAATAGAACTACACTATGATCCAGCAATTGTACTACTAAGTCTTTACCTCAAGGATGCAAAAATACTGATTTCAAGGGATACATGTACCCCAATTGTCAACAAGAACCAAATTATGGAAGAGCTCAACTGTCCATTGACTGATGCATGGATAAGGCAGATGTGGTACACATACATACAATGGAATATTAGTCATGAAAAAGAATGAAATCTTGCCATTTGCAATGATGTGGGTGTAGCTAAGTAAAATAAGTCAGTCAGCAAAAGACAAATACCATATGATTTGACACATATGTGGAATTTAAGAAATGAAACAGATGAACATGAGGAAAAAAAGAGAGAGGGGCAAACCATAAAAAGATTCTTAACTACAGAGAACAAACTTAAGGTTGCTGGAGGCGAGACAGGAGGGGGTATGGGTTAAATGGGTTATGGCAATTAAGGAGGACATTTATTGTTATGAGTACTGGGTGCTGTATGCAAGTGATGAATCACTGAATTCTATTCCTGAAGCTAATATTACATTACATGTTAACCAACTAGAATTTAAATAAAAACTTGAAACAAACAAACAAAGATGGATCACTTTACAATTTTTTTTTTTCTACCTGAGATTTCCTAACTAAACTGGTAGAGTAAAGATCTCTTGAGATTGACTGTGTGTCAGTATATTTATAAACAGCCAGGTGGCCAGTGTTTTGTGTTGGTAGCCAAAAGCAAGTCATCTTAAATCAAGACTTACAAGTGTAAATTTTTTCATTCCCCTCCATTTTCCTTTTGACTAAAGGGATATTTGACCTGAGTAGCCAGCTGGCAATATACACAATGACACTTAGAAAACATGTGTAAATATTTGAAACAAGTATCATGACAGACAGTCAGAAGAATTATTATCTTATGTATCCGTGCTTTACAAAACAATTATATTAAAAACCATTGTTTTGCACCTTCTAGGAAAAAATGCAAACAACTTACAATAAGAATATATCAAGACATTAACCCCTAAGTCAACTAAACTGGCCCAATAGTATGCTGTTTAAAAAGAACATATACATGTGTGTTAATGTATCACATATGATGGTTCAAATTTTTACACTTGAAAACAAAAATATATGAACAGCTGGAATCCTTACCTTTTCAAGGATAGCATTGCCTTGGTGAGGATTGATGTTATGTTGGCTTATTTCTCTCTTGTATTTATATTCATAAACTTGGTCAGTGATATTAATCAACAGAGTTGATGGACTAAAGGCCAATTTTCCACAATCATACACAGTTCCACTTTCAATATCAGTTGGTGCTGTAGCATATCGTAAGATTAATCCCATTATGAGGCCTAGAATAAAGAATAAACAATTGCACTGGAGGAACTGAATCTAAAATATTCACTATTGGCGCTTTTAAATATATGATTTTAAACTTGTAAAAGTGAAAAGAGAATGGGTTATGCATTGCCTGGTTTAGAAACTGTTCACAATTCCATAGATACCAGTTCAATAGATTGATTGCACTAAGATATTTGCAGTGTAGACACTGTTGCTTGAATATCCAGCATATATTTCCCCCTTTTTTTCCCTTCCTAATGGAGCCACAAATATTGAAGGGAAAAGCTACCCACTTTTTCAATCTAACTAAGTGCTTCAAGAAAACCTTTGTTCCGTAAGATACCAAGTAATCTAATCAGCCAGGAGATAAAATTTCCCAGAAAGTTTTTGGTCCACAAATTAGCACATCTAAAATAGCCTCATCAAACTAAAAGGAAGCACTTATAAACCATGGTTGGGAAAGAGGTGTTCTTGTTTTCTCCCTTGGGATATGACTAAGAATTTATTTCTCAATTTTTTGCTGAAAGATATCTTGTGACCTTGAGGGAACCCAGTCCAAGGACATAGTCAATATACTGAGAATGGTAGGACCAAGGTACAGATAGAACTCAGGTCCTGATGACATCAGTGAATAAATGGATCAACCTATTCTGGAGGTACCCTACTTCTAGACTTCTATTATGTGACACAACATATTCTTTAATAAAGCAACTTTGAATCAAGTTTCTGTTCATCTGTAACAAATAACATTCCTTTCAGTGAAGGTTGAATGCAAGTAATAATCCTTGACTTTTAAGTTTAAATACTCTGTTAGGATTCTCATGCTAAATCTGGTAACTGTAAACTTTCCTAATATTATGGATTTATTAACAAATAGCAAGGAAACTTCAGAGGTCTTTATATCCCTCACTTCAAAATTAGCACTGATGGGGGTGCCTGGGTGGCTCAGTCAGTTAAGCATCTGACTTTGGCTCAGGTCATGATCTCACAGGTTCGTGGGTTCGAGCCCTGCAACCAGCTCTGTGCTGACAGCTCAGAGCCTGGAGCCTGCTTCAGGTTCTGTGTCTCATTCTCTCTCTGCCCTTCCCCCACTTGTGCTCTGTCTCTCAAAAATAAATAAATGTAAAAAAAAATTTAAATAAAATTAAGACTGATGTATGAGTTTTAGGATAAATCCACAATTTACCCTTAAACATCAAATATTGGAGGTTTTACAACTCTTGTGAATCTAGTCATACAATAGACTTTCATTTACTTATTAATAATTTGTTGAGTGCATATTTTGTACAAGACATTTCTAGATTTAAAATAAAAGTACAGTCCTAGTCTTATAGCTCATTTGTAAAATGAAAGCCCTTAAGCAAACAATCGTAATACAATGTGACATGTGCTATGACAGCTGGTAAGCCCTCTGCGTTATATGAGTATAGAAAGAAAATGCTCCAAAGCCCCTTAGATGATGCAAAGTTTTAGATGAATCTTAAAAGGTCATATAAGATTTGTCCAGACAAGCTGAATCAGGGAATAAGTTGGGATCCAGTTTGCACATATGGGTGGCAATACACAAAGCAGAGCTAGCTAAAAGTTCCCCAGAAATTGGCAAGATATAATCAATGTGCTGAATGAGAAAAATATGCAGCCATGAATTCTTTATGGAGCAAGGCTGTCATTCAAAATTGAAGGAGAAATAAAGAGTTTCCCAGGCAGACAAAAAATAAAGGAGTTTTTGTTCACAAAACCAGCTCTCTAAGAAGTTGTAAGGGGAACACTTTGAGTGGGGAAAAGATGAAACAAAACAAAAAAGACCAAAAGCAACAAAGACTAGAAAGGACTCAAGAACATCACCAGAAACTCCAACTCCATAGGGAACAGAATAGCAATAAGTTCATATCTTTCAGTACTCACTCTAAATGTCAATGGACTAAATGCTCCAATCAAAAGACATAGGGTATCAGAATGGATAACAAGAAAACCAGGCCCATCTATATAAGCTGCTTACAAGAGACCCATTTTAGACCTAAAGACATCTAAAGATTGAAAGTGAGATGGAGAACCATCTATCATGCTAACTGTCATCAAAAGAAAGCTAGAGTAGCCATACTTATATCAGACAAACTAGATTTTAAATAAAGACTATAACAAGAGATGAAGAAAGGCATTATGTCATAATTAACAGGTCTATCCACCAAGACAATCTAACAACTGTAAATATTTATGCCCCCAATCCACTGGAAGCACCAAACATATAAATAAATTAATCACAAACATAAAGAAACTCATTGATAATAATACCATAATAGTAGGGGACTTCAACACCCCACTTACAGCAATGGACAGATCATCTAAGCAGAAAATCAACAAGGAAACAATAGTTTTCAATGATACACTGGACTAGATGGACTTAACAGATATATTCAGAACATTTCATCCTAAAGCAGCAGAATACATTCTACTTGAGTGCACACAGAACATTCTACAGACTAAAACTGCCCTCAACAAGTACAAAAATATCGAGATCATACCTTACATATTTTCAGACCACAATGCTATCAAACTTGAAATCAATCATAAGAAAAAATTTGGAAAGACCATGAATACTTGGGAGATTAAATGGACATTCTACTAAAGAATGAATGGGTTAACCAAGAAATTAAAGAGGAAATTAAAAGTACATGGAAGCCAATGAAAATGAAAACACAACAACCCCAAACCTCTGCGATGCAGCAAAGAGGTCATAAGAGGGCAGTATATAGCAATATAGGCCTTCCTAAAGAAGGAAGAAAAGTCTCAAACACACAACCTAACATTACATCTAAAAGATCTTGGAAAAAGAACAGCAAATAAAGCCCAATACCAGCAGAAGAAGGGAAATAATAAAGATTAGAGCAGAAATCAATGATACTGAAATTAAAAAACACAACAACAACAACAGTTAAACAGATCAATGAAACCAGGGGCTGGTTCTTCAAAAGAATTAATAGAATTGATAAACCACTAGCCAGATTGATCAAGAAGAGAAGGGACCCAAATAAGTAAAATCACAAATGAAAGAGAAGATCACAACTAACACTGCAGAAATTCAAATAATAGGGGTGCCTCGGAGACTCGGTTAAGTGTTCAGCTTCGGCTCAGGTCATGATCTCATGGTTTGTGGGTTCGAGCCCCACATCTGGCTCTGTGCTGACAGCTCAGAGCCTGGAGTCTGCTTCAGATTCTGTGTCTTCCTCTCTCTCTGCCCCTTCACAACTCGTACTTTGTCTCTCTCTCGCACTCTCAAAAACAAAGATTTTAAAAAATTTAAAAAGAATTACCACTTATTCTTTTGAAGTTGTTCCAAAAAACAGAATGGGGAAAATTTCTGAACTCAGTCTACAAGGCCAGAATTACCTTGATTCCAAAACCAGACACAGACCTCACTTTAAAAAGGAGAACTACAGACCTATTTCCCTGATGAATATGGATGCAAAAATTATCAATAAGATACTAGAAAACCATATCCAGCAATACATTTAAAGAATTATTCACCATGATCAAGTGGGATTTATTCCTGGGATGCAGGGCTGGTTCAATATCCATAAATCAATCAAAGTGATACATCGCATTAATAAAAGAAAGCATAAGAACCTCATGATCCTCTCAACAGACGCAGAGAAAGCATTTGACAAAATACAATGCCCTTTCTTGATACAAGCCCTCAGGAAAGCAGGGATAAAAGGACCATACCTCAAGATCATAAAAGTCATATAAAAAGGCCCACCACTAATATCATCCTCAATGGGGAAAATCTGAGAGCTTTCCCCCTAAGGTCAGAACATGACAAGGATGTCCACTCTCACCACTGTTATTCAACATAGTGTTGGAAGTCCTAGCTTCAGCAATCAGACAACACAAAGAAATAAAAAGCATCCAAACTGTCAAGGAGGAAGTCAAACTTTCACTCCTAGCAGACAACATGATACTACTTTATGTGGAAAATCCAAAAGACCCCACCCAAAAGCTGCTAAAACTAATACATGAATTCAGCAAAGTTGTAGGATATAAAATCAGCGTACAGGAATCAGCTGCATTTCTACACACCAATCATGAAGCAGTGGAAAGGGAAATCAAGAAATTGATCCCATTTACAATTACAAAAAAACCATAAAATATCTAGGAATAAACCTTACCAAAGCTTGAAAAATCTATAGACTGAAAACTATGGAAAGCTTATGAAAGAAATTGAAGAAGACACACAAAAAAATGGAAAGACATTCCATGCTCATGGATTGGAAGAACAAACATTGTTAAAATGTCTATACTGCCCAAAGCAACCTACGTATTCAATGAAATCTCCATCAAAATAACACCAGCATTCTTCACAGGGCTAGAACAAACAATCCTAAAATTTGTATGGAACCACAAAAGACCCCGAAATCACCAAAGGAATACTGAAAAAGAAGACCAAAACTGGAGGTATCACAATCCTGGTCTTCAAGCTGTATCACAAAGCTGTAATCATCAAGACAGTATGGTACTGGCAGAGAAACAGGCACACATATCAATGGAACAGAATAGAGAACCCAGAATGGACTCACAAATGTATGGTCAACTAATCTTTGACAAAGCAGGAAAAAATATCCAAAGGATAAATGACAGCCTCTTCAGGAAATGGTGTTGGGAACACTGGACAGTGACATGCAGAACCTGGACCAGTTTCTTAAACCATACACAAAAGTGAACTCAAAATGTATGAAAGACCTAAACATAAGACAGGAAGCCATCAAAATCCTGAGAAAATAGAACAATCTCTTTCACCTCAGCTGCAGCAACCTCTTACTTGACATGTCTTCAGAGGCAAGGGAAACAAAAGCAAAAATGAACTATAGGCGACAATGAAGACAAAGGAGAACATTTTTGCACTGCTGTTGAGAATGCAAACTGGTGCAGCCACTCTGGAAAACAGTATGGAGGTTCCTCAAAAAATTAAAAATAGAACTACCTTATAGCCTGGCAATTGCACTACTAGGTATTT